AACACACTTGCCCTTCCTGCCTGGTCTTTCTCCTGAGATCCCTGAACCACCCTCTTCTGACAACATGCCATTTTCTGTTCAATTCGGCATGTTTACTTCTTTATTGTGATTCATGTCTGAGTTTCTTTTGAATCAAATTATTGCATCTCCCTGGTGAGATGTGCCATATGACTATCTTGTTAGAGCAAAATCAAATAAAAAATTTGCACGGAGCATGGCTCCACCTCATCCCCACCACATGCTTCCGTCTTGTTTGGACACACTTCTGTTGGCTACTCGATCAGTAATGAATCCTTCCAGTGTTTAGGCCAATTTTCAGACACTGCTGTCTTGGAAAAGATGAAGAATTGGTTGGAACAGGGTCAACAGAGAGAACGTCACTACTTCAAAAATGTTTTACAAACTGGATGAAAGATTTTTCCCAAAATACATAGATCGAAGAAAGCCAGAAAGACCGAACAGATGATTTCACTGAGGCACAGCAACAACTAGAGCTGTTCTTTATGCTGCGTCCCCAGAGACGCTTCAGTCCTGAAGCAGCTAGTTGCTTCCACAGGTCTGGAAGCCAAGCATGCCACGGCATTTCTGAACAGGGATAGCGCAATATAATTCCTGTTACACTTTTTCAATAAATACATTTTCTCTCTCCCCTTTACTGTTTTGGGTATTGATTATTACCTTTCAAGCAAATTTAGAAATTGAGCTGTTCATACTACGTAGATCTCCAATCAAGTACAGGAATGAGATTCATGCTGAGTCTTCCTTCTCAACTGCTTCCAGAATGATGTCGAAACTTCTCAGTGTGACAAATGAGGCCCTTTACAACTGGAACCCTGACAGCCCTTGTCCCAGCCCCTCCTGTGCCTCAGGCATACAGAATTCCTGCTGGTCCCCGGTGCACCCCATTATCCTGCTTTTGTGTCTATCTGGAATGCCACCCTCTCTCACCCTCTCCTGGCCAACTCCCACTCATCCTTCAAAGACAACAGTAATCTTGTCCCCAGGCTGGCTCAGGTGCCTCCACTGGGCTTCAAGCACCCTTGTACATCTCTCTTGGGGGGTGGGGGTTTGACCAGGTATACTGCAGTTGCTACCTGGCTGCTTCCTCCTGCGCTGGGAGCTTCTCCAGGGCAGGCAGGTGCAGTTCCCCTCTGCATCCCAGGCACTGACTACAGTGTAAAATTTGTTAAATTAAACTCCCCCAAATCCTACTTTGCCAAAGACACCAATGCGACCATTTTTTAAAAAAGAGGATTCTGCAGTGTATAGTTACACTATTCCTTAGGACTTTCCTAATTTAAGACATGAAAATACTATAAATGGTATTTACACTAGCATAATATAAATAGTATTTTTAGCAATAAAAAGTGATAGGACATTTTACAATGCTTATTTTCTCAGTTCTTAAACTCTTAATTCGCAGAATCAAACCTACTTATTTTTAAGTTACTTTTTAACAGGAACTTTTGATGATATGTGATACATGGTAAGGAAATGATCTAGCCTTAGAGATGAAGCAAAAAGCACTGACCCCTTTCTGTATAGTGAGTGGCTCCACCCATCCTTAGACATGTGAGGATAAGACAGAGATTCACGGAAACCTCCACAGAACACAGTTCCTCCATAAAGAACACAGCATAAACGTCCTCTCTTGGATCTTATTATAGTATTTTTTCAAAAAATTGGCATAAACACTGGAAGGATTCATTACTGATCAAATGAATGCTTGCTATATACCAGATATAATTCTACCAGTTATGTGCATTAAATGATTTAATCCTTCCAACAACCTTATGAGGGTGATAGTATAATATTCCATTTGACACATATGGACACAGGCCCAGATAACTTGCCCAAGGTCATGCAGCTAAGAAGCAGAGCTGAGTTTGAATACAGGCAGCCTGTGTCTCCATCCATACGGTTACAGCAATAGCTATGCTAATTGTCTGGCTGGGGTTATTGTCGGGATCACGCTGACGTAGCCAATTGTATTCTTAGGGCTAGGGCTCAGGGCCCACAGATCCTTCAAACCCATTGTACAGCCTGGGTCACCAGACCCCTCACACGCCAGGCACAGACCCCTCAACATGCAGGCCCACGAGCTAGGTAAGTGGGAAAGAACCGCGACATGAGCTCAGTCCCAGCAGCAGCAGTAGCTTACAGCAGCCTCCAGCAGCAGTGGTGATGGCCTCCCGGAGGGTCCCAGGGGCCCTGGCAGCAACAGTTTCCAGCAGCAGTGGCATCCCTGTGTCCCCTCCCCCAGGGCATCCTGGGGGCAGGGGGTGGCATGGATTAGAGCCACTCGTCCTTTATACCTAAGTCTGATAACCCAGGACACCTGGGTGCCCACCCACATCTACATCAGACAATAGCTAAGGAACTCCTGGGCGTATGTGCATTATTTACATCAAACGTTTGGCAAGTTTCTGAGCACCTGAGGGGCGCTGACCATTTTCCTTCACTTTCCCTACACCACCCATGGCCTCTCAGTATTTGATGTGGGAGATGGCCCCACTAAGTGACACAGAGACTCACACCACACCAGTCAACACCCAGTGCTCCCAACTCTGAGCATGCGTTACTGGAGAGAATGCAGACTTCACAGCAGGACTGAAAGAGCTATGTTTTGTTAGAGCTCTAAATACCAAAAAATAAGTGTTTAAGTATGTCCCAGACTCCCTGGGGGGTAGAAAAAGCAGAGTAGGAGTAACTGCAGGCTGGGATCTTCCCCACACTGTGAGTTCCCAGAAGCCTGGATGTGCCCTCATCAACAGCTGGGCATGTGACTCGACAACACATGGGTCCAGCAGGTGTCCCCCTTCTCTCTGCAGCCATCGCACAGCTTTACCCCCAACCAGCATTACTCCTCGGTCCCTCTGTGCTCTGCCCGTCCCTGGTCCTCCTGGGGACATCAGCGTCTCCTGGGAGAGGGGCGTGGGCAGAGCTGCTGAGAGGTGATGACTCCTGACAGAACGGCCCATTGCTTATTTCTCCCAACCGCTCCTTCCCACTTGCTCCTGATTTCCTCCCTAGTATGTGTTCTTTTTTCATTCCCACTCCCTGCTCTTCTTTCTTTTTTTTAAAAAAAAAAAAAAACAACTGATAATGGTTTTGGAGTTTAAAAGTATTTACTTTTTAGCTGTCCTCTTTGATCAACGAATCGCTAAAATGAAAAAAAAATTTTTAATTTAATTAATTACTATAACGTTTTATTTCAGGGTATAACAACTCAATAAATTGTTGGTCACAATATGCCTAAAATGAGTGTATGATATTTCTATTTACACTTGTAAATTATATTTCTTCAGGACACCTGAATGGGAACCAATTTTTTGCATAATTTCAAATATGCATCATCTACGGCGTATTATAGAAAGTTGCAAGGTAGGTCTTTTTAAACAGTCCAAGAAAAATTGGACTCAGATTATTTTGTGAATTGTTATTTGAGCCTGCAACGAATCTCTTTGACATTAACATCTTTAATAAACATTTGAGCAATATCTGCATTCAGAATATAGGATAGAACTAAGACATCATCCCTATTCATTAGGCTTATATTTTCTCAATAACCTAATTTTGTCTTTCATAAGATATTAATACTTTTGGAAGTCTTACCCTTAATCCTATTAATTCCTAAGCTAGCTTTTAAAAGTGCAGGAGGAAATATGCAAAGGCAGTCAATTTCACTGAATTATACATTAAACCACTAAAGGTAAATCCGAGAACTTCAGGGTTGCTAAAAATGCAGAACTTTATCTGAAAATATTTTCTGGCCTTAAATCAAGCACTCAGGGCACGGTTTGGATGCGCTTCCTGGGCTTTGCTGTCTCCCGGACCGAGGGCGTTGGCAACACACCAGAATGCCTCTTTGGCAGAGTGGATGGTGTCTATTTGTCTGCTCTGGACCAAAGACTTACTCTTAGAAGATGTGTGGCAGTGGCACAGCCAGCACTGGTGCCATGTGTTGCTTTGACTGCTGTAATGAATCTTTGATGATCAAGCTTGGAAAGAGAGCTAAACCCAAGAAAAAACAGCATCTGGAGCATGAAATGAAGTGTCATGAGTGTACCCACAAGAAGAGAAACAAGCAGATTTTGAAACTCATAGGCTATAGAGGCGGTAGGAACTGATTTTAAAAATGCTCTAATTCCAGAGAAGATGTTGCCCAGCTATGAGCTAGTTAGGTAGATACAGGACCAAAAACACATTGTAAGGTTTAAAAAGCTTGTGACATCTCTGCGGTCCTACTTTTATTCTGAGTAAGCACGCTACTTTATCTTCATCAGTGACTCTAAACTAATTTTAATAATAGAAAAAAGGCAACCCAACCTCCTGCCTCGCCCCCACCACTGCACCACACCCACACTCAAGTGATGGTGTGTTTCTCTGAGTCAAACTTCTTCGAGTCAATTAATTCTCTTCAGCTCTTGAATGACCTTCCAACAGAATGAGCTAATGGCAGAGGCTGTAAAAGGGTTGATCCCTGCACGTTATATATAGCAGGAGAATATCCTGTTCCTGGAAATGCCCCTGACAGCTGTCCACAGGAGAGCCCAGGACCGCGGCATGCTCTCTGGGCTGGCAGGACAACAACAGTTGTCACAGCCATGAAAATAGCCTGTCCCTTTACTGCCCTCTAATCTCTAACCACATGACATCACTGGCTGGTCTATAATTGCGTTAAGTGGACAGTTTCTTCCTGAGATAACAACTACAAAATTATTAGGATTTAACATCATACTTAATTACAGGACAAGCCAAGGAAGGTGATCAAGAATGGGGAGGGGAAGAGAGCCTGGCAGGCCTTTGTTTTCATTGCATATTTATGTGGAACAAGGAAAAAGGTGAACCTCTTGGTACTGGGTCTCACCATCAGATGGGATGGACCCTCAGGTGCGATACCCAGTCCCTCTGTGGCTTCTCTCGTGGGGTCCCTTGGTGTGCTGAATGAGTTGGGAGCACAGTACCTTGGACATGTGGAGCCAGGAGCAGGTGCTCACCTCATATTCCTCCTTGAAGCCGTAGCCCTCGGCACATTTCATCTGTGTGATGTGCTGAAGGAGGTCGGCCACCCGGATGGCAGGGTGGAGCTGCCCGGTCTGGTAGGGCACGTCAGCCGGCTCGCGCTTCTTGTATGTATGGGACTGCGCCAGGCTGCTGGTATCGCTGGCCATCGTGTGCGTTTCATCTAGGAAAGAAGGCCAGCGAGGAAGTGAGGGAGGGTCAGTGAGCCAAGGCGGGATCACGGAGAATGCTACGAAGCTGGCTGCTGACACCCCTCAACCTACGGCTGCGAGAGTCCCTACGATGGCTCAGTGAAAAGGAAAAGTTACATGTTTAGAAATTTAAATGGGGTTGGCAATACTGATAGGAATGAGGCAGAAATCTTTGTTTTTACAAAGCAGTCCAAACGATATATCGCTTTCACAAAGCTAATCGATAAGAGCCCTTTAGCCTTTCAGTGCTCAAGTTTGTAGAAGTTTCATTCTGAAACTTCATCAAGACCTGGTGCGAATCCAGTCTTGTATTCTTCCAAACAGTAGTTAACTAGTTGGTATGATGATGTAAATGAACTCTGTACAAATGTTCTGTGAGCAAAACAAAAGTGCACAGAATGGATTACGAAGCTAGCGGTGGAAATGGTGACTTCCTACATGAGATAAAGTAAGAGTGAGAAAATGAAAGAAACCTGGCTCGAAGATAATGTTTTGATGTCACTTTGCATGCTCGGGTATCAGAAAGCTTAACAAAATATCGTGGAGCAACACATCACACATGGAATGTCCTACGATAGCCACATGCAGGCCAGCGCGGAGCAGCACCGCCGGCTTTGTCAGGAGCGACAGGTGAGACACACACTCCCACTCCCGCCGCAACTTCTCCAGGGGGCGAATCGGGGCACTTACCATTTATTGGCACTTTTAAGAAGATACGTATCAGGAGAAAAGAGGAGAAAAAGGAAACAGGGCATAAGCAATAGTACTGAGTGAAAATTACAGGTAGTTTTTATTTCGTGGTTTAATCTTCCAGTTAAGTTTTCTGTTCAGAGTGGTCAGAGGGCAAAGCCTCATTTCTCCCATCACGTTAGGGTGGAGGTGTATAATTTAAGCACTAATAACAAGAAGGTTAAAATTAGTATCAAAATTGCTTTTCATCCCCCACGAACCAAGTACCGACTAAATAAGTCTTATTTGTATTCAACACATTTTCTCATTTAAATTTCTTGAACAAGTCAACCAAATTGTACTACAAATTAAATGTCAAAATTTGGTCAAATAAGCCTAAAAGAGGCTATATTTTAATGGAAGACTATTAGTAAATTAGATTAATGAACTGCAGAAATTGTGGCTATTAAAAACATCTTATGCAGGAAAGTGCTATTAGATTAAGAATTTCATATTCTACAGGTTAACTCATTATAATGCTGAATCCTTTTAGCCGTTTTTTTTATTGAGGATGGGTATCATCAAAATATAATACTGAAGTCATTTAAAAGGTGAATATTATATCAAAATTGATTTCAGGTATAAATAATTAAAATATAAATGTTCAGTTTTTTTTTTAATTACCAGATTTGTTATCAAGAGGGAATTCAGCTATAGTTATTTTTTATTTTTTAATGAGAAGTTCAGCTCCAAAAGAAATTTAGTCCAAGGGTGCTTGGTTAGCTGGGCCTGGGTCTGAGACCTCACCGCTACCTGCATCGCAAAGCACCTGGGGATGCATGGCATGGAAGGTGGTGCACAAGTGTGTAGCTATGTTGCTGTTGCTGAAATGGCACCTGGATCACTACAAGGTGGCTAAAGACACAAAGACAAAATAAAAAGGGTGGTAAGTTGATTTTATGATTTTGTTTTCATTTGGATTTGCTTTGAAATTTAGCAATTCATGTTCCCCTTTTATTTTAACAGACACAAATAAACCTGGAAATTTTCACATCAGATTTGCTTGCTGGAAACTGCAAAGCTTTATAAATTGGGATACAGGATCCCTGCTGAAGTATTGAATCCACTGAGCTTTTAGTTACTCCAGCAGGAAGCTCTGTTCTTTCTACTAGAATAAATGGAACATTAATTAGTTTCCGCTCTGTGCCTCTCTCCTTCTCTCAGTTCTGTATCTTATGGGATGAACATAATTAACATGCCCTCCATTGCAGGCTGACCTTCTAAACTTCCCCTAAATGATTCGGGCCTTTCATGTGGATACACCGGCAACTTAGCAATGCTCTGATCCCAGGGCTAGGCATTCTTGGAAGTTCTAAATCCACAGAGCTACAACCACTGTTGCTGTTGTATGTAATTGTTCTGTGCTGCATTACGACTTCTTGGCCTCATTACTAGAGTGGAACACATCTTAAAGCATTTAAACAACACTACCAAGTTCATCTAAGAAAAGAGCACTGTTATCTAGTACAGACATACTGAAGGGGTAATAGAAGGTTTCTCATGCAATATCAGTTATGAAATTGGGTCACCTATACTATGAGAAATTCTTGATTCCACTAACATTAGTGATTAATCAGTATTCTATGACATCTTTAAAAAAATTACTGCTGATGAAACATATCATTTGTCATTAATTTCCTTTATTTTTTTAAAAAAATTACCCACCAACAATTTTTTTTAATTAAAAATAATGCACAAGAGGAAATCGGAAATAAAGCGTCTCACTTACAGATCTGATGGTTTTCTGAGAACTAAAAACTAATTCTACCTATATTCTTTAATGAATTACTTGTTGGTTTTCTCAGAACTAAAAACTAATTCTACCTATATTCTTTAATGAATTACTTGTTGGTTTTCTCAGAACTAAAAACTAATTCTATGTATATTTTTTAATGAATTATCCTGAATTTTTAGTAAGCCAGCTGAAAAACCTTGAATTGAAGCATATGCCATATTTTTGAGGTGGGGGAAGTTCTATCTATCTAGCTTTTTTGCAAGCAAATGAAGCAAAGACATGCTTAAGTTCTGTATACCAGGGCTGGGCACCTTATGTGAGAATAAAAGGTGACGGTAATAGAGGATTTAAGTGTACTGAGTTTTGACTCATAACAAAGCGTTCCTTCTTGTTTTAATGTAAATTATAACTGTTACTATCACCCAAGAGTGCCAGAATAGATGTATAGCTTGTCTTCTTTCCATAGTTTCAAGTGATAACCCCACCAATCCTTATCATATTTGGTTTTCTCAGAACTAAAAACTAATTCTATGTATATTTTTTAATGAATTATCCTGAATTGTTAGTAAGCCAGCTGAAAAACCTTGAATTGAAGCATATGCCATATTTTTGAGGTGGGGGAAGTTCTATCTATCTAGCTTTTTGCAAGCAAATGAAGCAAAGACATGCTTAAGTTCTGTACACCAGGGCTGGGCACCTTATGTGAGAATAAAAGGTGAAGGTAATAGAGGATTTAAGTGTACTGAGTTTTGATTCATAACAAAGCGTTCCTTCTTGTTTTAATGTAAATTATAACTGTTACTATCACCCAAGAGTGCCAGAGTAGATGTATAGCTTGTCTTCTTTCCATAGTTTCAAGTGATAACCCCACCAATCCTTATCATACAATACACAGATTCACATTTGTACCAAGTAATGTGGAAGGAACATTGTTTCCAAGTGCTGCCATCTGTGATGCTGGTACACACGTAAGTTGTACATGATAACAGGTATGGTTGATCTGGCTCACTCACTTTTCACAATGTGCATCATTTTTGCTCCTTGAATTGTCTGTTCAAATGATTCCCTGTCGGTTTAAGAAGCCTCACCAACTTTAAAAGATGTCATTTGTGTTCATAACAACAAAGCAGCGACTTTAAAAAATGTTTGTTTAATAAGATTATCTTAATCCTGCTGTGAAATCTGAACATTTTCTTCTCTCTGACAATGCACATCTTAGCCTTCCCCACTTACAGCTCCCCCAAGGTCACAACATCTACTAGAAGAACCTTGGAATGAATGCTAGAGCACACAAAGAAATCGCAAATCTTCGCCTATGAAAAGATTCTGCAAATGTCATTTGCATGTAGATTACATTGTTTGGGTGTCTAAGATTAGCTGGTACCCCTCACTTATGAAAAGAATAAAAATGCAGCTTTCTTTCCCTTATAGTTGGTATTAAAACCCAGGGAACTTTAGTGAGGATTGTTATCCCTCAAAATGATGCAATATTCAAAAATTCTGTTTTATGTTCATTCTTAAACTTCTGTCATAGTTCATTTTTTCCTCAAGCAGCAAACTTGCTTAAGCTCAGAGAACACCATAGGGAAAATAAAAATTACTCTATGAAAATCATAACAACTTAGAGAAAAGAGAAGCACAGGGGGAAAACTATGTTGCAAAGATATAAACCCTTGTAAAGAGAATTAGGAAGGAGAGGTTGAACAACTGAGGATGGAAGTCTTGCTACAATGAATTGTTATAGACCTTGAAGTCGTTTTTGTTGTGCTCCTGTGCGAAAAGGTTAGTAGTGGAAAGAGAACACAGCCGTGATACACTCGGGTTACTCAGCATCATCTCAAAATGCAACAGCAACTCGGGCTTGTCTGCGTATCACAGCCAGGCGACGCCACTTCTCCTCACCCTTCTTACACTGGACACACGGATTTTTTTTTCTGTAACCCCCTGCTGGGAATATTTCATACTTTAAATGCATTCTGCCCCACTGGGCTAGCATTTTAGTTCATTCCTCGTGACATCTGACACATGATAAACCATATGATTATAAAGTGCCATCCTGTCATTTCGCTGTTGAGAACATCAGCTCCTTTGAAATTCCACTGCGTGACAGACACTTCTGAATGCTGGGGGTGCCCCGAGCGGTTCCAAGGACAGGTAGGGGGCCAAAACTCTATTGTAATCATTTTTCTGCATAACATTTGGCATAATTGGAAAAATGCTATTTTTGAAATTGAAACTTTTAGTGCTTAGCAGTAAATGAAAATAATGAGATGCTATTTTCACTTTTATGACCATCACATTAGATAGAATTCAGCTCTTGGAAGTACACGGCTGAGTGATGACATGTTGTTTTTTGCCCCCGGGATCAGACCTAACTTTAAATTCTGAACATAGAAAGGAGGAATTCTGGAGCTGGGACTGTTCATTTGAACCATTTGGCACCATCTCCAACATACATGCAGCAAACCTTTCTTATCAATGGAAACTGTTTAGAAAAAGTCTTTTTGTCACCTACCCCTGCACCCCCAACTCCAGCGGCCCACCACCCCCATGAGCTGTTTGTAATCACTGCATCATACAGAATTAAAACTCCAATCTCCCAAAGAGTGGCCACTGACTTTCTAAATTCCTCCTGCAATAAACTGTGGTAAAGGGAAAGGTTCTCACCTAAGATTGCAGTTGGCACAAATGGGTCTGTCATACATCGTAAGCAGGTCAATGCAGAGAGAGTAAAAAGAGAAAGAACAGTAAATGATTGGTGAAAGGTGCCCCCATCCCTGCAGAAAGCCACAGAAAGCACTGGGTCACAACATATCAAACACAGTAAGCTCCCGAGGCGCCCTGGGTAGCACAGTGAGGCTGGTGATTCTGACTTCTGAGGGGTTACGAGAGGTGAGACAGGGAAACATCTGTACCTGGGTAATAAGAATTAGGCACCGATGTGCTCAGCGTATTTGTTTTCATTGTAAAGGACGACGGTGAAGACACAGCTGAAAATAAAAAGAAAGGCTGGTGAGTGGCTGCAGAAAGGTTACGTGTACCCTGAACGTACCACACTCTCAGATGGCCTACAGTGACTCCATGCTGGTGTCCATCGCAAATGCGAGACACCTCCTAGAGTCACTGAAGTCCACTTGGTAAATATCACCATCCCCAGTTGTCTCTGGGTACTTGTCTTTCAGAGGACAAGCACCCTTTTATCACTTAAAGACTTAACCCACAACCACTGACACCATGCTAAATAGACAGATTCATCAGACCTCTATTTTGACTTCTAGCCATTGCTTATAAAATCCTGCTCTCGGGCTGTGCTGAATTTTACAAATAAAGTAGAAGAATGTGCCTACATGTGGCTTTTGAAGAATATTCTGAAGGTCAGTGTTTCTGTAGTTTGTTGAATCCTCTCCTTCCTCACATTTTGGATGTGCAGAAAACTTTCCACAATGCTGTGACCTGGGCTTACAAGAAGTAAACGCGAGGTTCCGGCTGTGCTATACTGAAGGTGGAAGGTGCATGCCTCCATATCGTTCTATTAGTCTTTTAAATCCTTATAAAGACACTTATTTTTCTTTGGAATAGTCCTCCAAAATACTCAAGATTGAACTATTACACACTCTCTTCCTCCCTGTCACCAAGAGGGAAAGTCAACCCTATCCAATTTATCTGATGCCATTAAAAATAGATATTTTCTATTGTTAAGCATATGTATTTTTTAAATGAAAAATATAAAATCTGCTACAAAAAAGCTGAGGGAATTCTACGCATAGGTGGGAAGTAGTTTGTGGGGTACTGAGATACCTGCCGCGGCTTCTTTACCCCACGCTAAGATGACATGGAGGACAGAGAGGAAAGGCCAATGATGAAGACTGAGCGATGCTGCCCTGCCCACCACAGCAGAGTGGCCAGTGCCACACGTGCACCCCCCTGGCCAGGTGTGTGTGGAGAGCAAATTAATGGAGAAGGAGAAGGTGCCAAGATAAGCAGGAAATAGGAGAGACTGAATTCTACGACGCCCAGCAGAGTTTAGGAGAAACACAAGGCCTGGGGCAGGCACGTGCACTGGCCGTGCCATGATAGGAGAGGGGACGGGGTGGACAGGCAGAGCTGCAGAGTCAGAACAGGCCAGGGTGCACGGTCAGGACACAAGCACAGGCTGTCCAAACTGCCATGGGTTGTCTGCAGCTCAAGACACCATCTCCGTGCTCCTCACAGACCCGAGGCCCACCAGCCCTTATGTGTATTTATTTATTTATTTCTGTAACAGTGACAGCTGCACTTTGATTCCATCCCCATGCTGACCAAGACTCTGATATGCAGCTGGGGTCAATGGCAGTCTGCAGGTATCAAGGGTTTCACGCAGTGGAGAAGCCCGACCTTGAACCTGATGAGTGTGTGACGTGAAGCAGAGTCAGGTGCACACCACAGGATCTACCTCTGGTCTCTGAAAAGATCACGAGGAACAAAACAACTGTTCCTTTTCTACTTCCTATAATCAACCTAATTGTTAGTTTCCTAAAATAATGCCTTATACCTGGATCACAGGTGCTAGTGTGGGAAGGTCTTAGCTTAGCTCAGTTTACCCACCTGGTGTGAAGCGTATCACTTGTGAAGGTGAAATACAGTTTCACTTGTTAATTGCCACTAATAGCCCTATAATAAAGGCAGAACCTGTCAGCTAAACAGATAAACAATTAACTTGTTACTGCCACTTAGTGAACTGTGCTATATAACAAGCTTCGCTTGTGTAATTCCACACCTGGCTAGCTTACACATGGGATCTAAACTAGAAAGGATGATGAGATGTAGGTGCCTTCCTCCTCAGAGGAGGGAAGCCTTCAGGCTACTGCTCCCCAGGTCTTTACAGAAACATCATGGTGGCTTCCTGTGCTCTCCTTCCTGGTCCCATCACCTGAAGAACAACAGCTCTGCTAAGCAACCATAACGCCTAGAGAAGTTTTCAGGATCATCGGCAGTGACTGGAGAAACCCATATGGTATAAGGCTTCTTCGGGAAGGGCACTCGCTGGAGTCCTGGAAAACCAGAGGGAGGTGCTAACAGCCACGCAGCGTGTGCACTTACATCTCCCGTTCAGGTTGTGTGTGTCCATGAAGGAGAAAGCCTCGTCGCAGTTGGTGCCTTGCTCAGCGTAGCTCTTGTCCATGGAGTTCACCATCACGGTCATCTCCTGCCGGGTGCTACTCATCGTCTCCTTCCGCTTCCTGGCTAGTTTCCTTAGGACAAAGAGTGCAATTATGTAGACATTCATGTGAATGGAAAATGGAGCTTTGGCAAGAGTGTGCTGACCGACGTTCAGGAATAACTTCTATTGAATTAATGATATTCATTCATACAGTGATTTCCGTATGTCAGGTACTGCAGACACAGAGATGAAAAACATCCACTGCCCAGGCTTAGGAAAACCACAGCCTAAAACACCATGATCCTCCTACCATAAACTGAATTAAAACGACCAGTGACCCTAGTACAACGCCATCAATGCTGACCGACGTTCAGGAATAACTTCTATTGAATTAATGATATTCATTCATACAGTGATTTCTGTATGTCAGGTACTGCAGACACAGAGATGAAAAACATCCACTGCCCAGGCTTAGGAAAACCACAGCCTAAAATACCATGATCCTCCTACCATAAACTGAATTAAAACGACCAGTGACCCTAGTACAACGCCATCATAATCTGCTTTCTGCTATGCTCCTAGAGTTACTAACATTTTACTAAATGATTGTCTACGTTGCCACATTCAGTGTCAATGAGAAGATTCTCCCTAGTGAAAATTTGCCAAAAAAATTGAAATAATCCAAGGGTGAATCTAAAAGGCACACTGTAAAACTAAAGATCAGAACTAGGAAGGAGTCAAGTATAGCTGAAGCAGCTGCATAAAGACAGCAGACCATGAGGCTACTAAGGACAGAGGAGCTCAGGCCTCAGGAGAATTGGAGGGGCATGTCCTGAATTCTCAGAAGGCTACGACACTAGACCAAATCCCCAATGAATCCAAACTGGTTTCCCATCAAGCTTTGTCAGCTCCTACAGAGTAGAGGTAAAAATGTCCTGTTGCTGGCTTCTCTGGCAAGTTTAGCAGGAATAAGTCCTCACTGTTCCCCTCCCTTGGTGGAAGAGAATACAAAAAGGCCTAGGACAGCAGAAAGACCTCTGATTCTTTTGGAGACATAAGGTTAATTCTGGTCTCTGCATCCTGCTCACTGACCACCAAAAACTCATAATCTAAAATTATGGATACCTGCACAAAAGCCATAAAAACCCAAGGGAAACTAACATAAATAAACTGATAAGACAAAATTTTATAGATCTTACTACTGGAGGTTGTTTTATGCACCTAAGACAGGCAAGAATAGAATTAGAGATGCTTAAGGAGAAGGTATAAAGTGAGAAAATATGAGAAGACCACAGACCACAACACCATAATATCAAAGATACTATGTCCTAAAATACTCTGATTCTGCCTGAGCACCTAGAAGCATTTAAAAAAGAAAATGGCAACTACTTCTAGTAAATCATCTTGACACTAATTGACTTGGGACACAGCAGTATTTAAAATGAGCCACGTAACCAAAATCACACCCATACTAGGTGATTGCTAATGGAATGGAAGGCGGTGACAACATTAGACCATATGGATCATTTCCATTATCATTTCCAAATGACACATCAGCCAAATGCCTTCTTGCCCATAGTTATAAAAATCTTTTAATTTCCTACTTCGAAGGCAGAAGGGTTTCATTAATAAGTTGCCCTTTTTGTTGCTAAAAGTTGTTGGGAAAAAAAGCTATATTTTTAAACAGACAAATGAAAATCACCTATGTTATCTCTCATAGTGTTGAAGATTTTGAAAGTTAGGCCAGTGTGACTCCCCTGGGCACTAGCACCCCGCCCTCACCACGGTCAGACCATGATGTTCTCCAGAACCGCCCCTGCCCCTTTTTCCCTCCAGGCCTGCTAGTGTGAGAGCCAGAGGCTGGATGTTCTCAACAGGTGTTCTGGACAGAGGCAGCAGCAGGCTCCATCTCCACAGCTGCACTTGCAACAATACATCTTCTCTTCACTTCTGAACCTGCCAGCTCAATGGAAAAACATTCTTAGGCCAGGTCTCCCCAGGAACACTGAAGTGGAGGATTGAGATAATTAGCTCCACAATTCAGGCAAAATGCCTGTTTTTGCTTGAATTTCCTTCATGTGCTTTGGACTGATTTATGCAGATAACTGCCTCAATATTCTTTTTTATTCTGCCTATTAAGAAAGGCATAGTCAATGTTACCAGACTTCTCTCTTTGCCTTTCCTTGCTTAAATTCCTCTAATATTAAAGGTTAGAAAATGACAGCTAACACGCTGCTGCATTGCTGTTGGCAGGAGTGGTGGGGGATGGGGGGTGTATGCTCCAATAAAAGCTAAGCTTACACTGAAAAAGATCTTTCTCCTTTCTGATCCTCCATATGTGTGAACTAATTGCAGTGATACCACATCGAACACTTCAGTGTTGATCTTCAAGCACAAAAGAACCCCATCAAGGACTCATGAGTGTATGCTCAAATCCAAAGGAGGTCCAGTTGGAGATCTGCAGATTTAAACTCATATCCATAAGCACAGACTCTATGTCCATGAGCCTCCTTCAAAACCTGGCTCTCAATGTCCTCAGCAAGCCTACCTGCATTAACCCTACCCTTTAACCACATTTGTACTTTCATCAGGTGTCACAAACAGAAGTGTCTCACCTGGGTCGGGCAGGTAGTGCAAGTGAGGGAAGCTGGTGTAAGACAAGAAGGAGTGGGGGGGGACTGGGGAAATGGAGAGGGATCAGCAACTCAGCTCCTGCAGATTGATGCACCACGGAGGTCCCAGTCACTGAAAGTTTTAGGAGAAACCAGAAATCCAGATTTTATGTCAACTCTTCATTTTTAAGTGTTGTCAAATAATTCAAACCTAAAAATAAAATGTCACGTGGCCCAAATAAAGCAGTTTGTGGGCACTTCTGTTCTCCGTGAATAACAGCACTTAGAAATGTCCTTGTATGGGAAAGGAAGGGAGTAGAAGCTAACATATAGGACACAACTATGGTATGTCAGAACTCTCCACGTTATCTCACTTAACCCTAGTAACCTTGTAAGAGTTATTCTTACTTCCTGTTTTACAGATGAGGGAACTAAGTTTCAGAGAAGTTAAGTAACTTGTCCAGATGGTGGAGCTGAGATTGGACCCTAGCTCTCTCTGACCTCAAAGGTACTGATTCTAGGACAATGTACTGTCCCTAGTATAGCATTTCATTAATTTACATTTCCCTATAAGTTTCATTATAATTATCACCAAATTGCTTTCAAGTATGTATACTGTCCTCCCCATACTAAATATTATGCTTTGAAAAAGGAGGGTTGATATATTAGTGTCTAGCCAATGCTTTACACAAAGCTGGTGGCATCCACATGCTTATTAATTGAATTAACCATCATCATATCAAAGCATTAGTAAGGAGAGTTTTTTGACAAGTCATCTATCAAAAGTAGCTTGCTTGGTTATGGAGATTTTGAGTCATTGTTTGGGATTTTCACTTGTTTTTATATACAGCTCAGATGCTCCTGTTCATATTACAGATGGTTGAGGAAGGTTGGGTTTAGAATTTAGGCTCAGTTATGACTGGATAAACTGGAGTTTATTTCTCTCTTTTTCTTTCTCTCTCTTTTTGAGCCTTGTGTTTCAGACCTGTACATTTTTCCCAAGTGAAAACTTTGAAAACTATCAGAAAAACTTTTTGAATTTAATGAAATTAAGTGTTTTGTGCAGAGAAACTCATAAAGTTGAAACAGGTTTCTTTGCAGTCTTCTCTAAAGACACAAGTAAATTTATTTTCCATTTTGATTTTTAATAAATGTTTTGCCTAACATCATAAAGTTGAAACAGGTTTCTTTGCAGTCTTCTCTAAAGACACAAGTAAATTTATTTTCCATTTTGATTTTTAATAAATGTTTTGCCTAACATTTTTCAATCTCCAGTCTCCAAACTTGCACTGCATGAATCTCACAGGCCCTTGGTAACATCTATAAATAGACATAAAAAATTAGAGAAAGGACTTGTGGCTTCCAGTCTGGCATGAAGTTTTCAATCCCCGGTCTCCAAACTTGCACTGCATGAATCTCACAGGCCCTTGGTAATTAAAAAAAGGGTTCTTACCAACATCTATAAATAGACATAAAAAATTAGAGAAAGGACTTGTGGCTTCCAGTCTGGCATGAAAGAAGCTTGGAAGTTATCACTTTGTCCTGACAACAAGTAAAAGCTGGAAAAACTGAAAATCAACAACTCTTCTTAGATCAATCAGAACTGAGGTCACAGAGCAAACCACTTTCCCCGAAATTAGAGAGACCAAAAGAAGAATACAGAAAAATCATAACTCACTAGAGCAAAAATCCATGAGAAAATTATGTGAGAACCAGTACCCAGTCAGGAAAACCTAAACTATAATTGACAAAATGCTGAAGTCTCAGTGCAGATAAGTCTGAGAATTAAAAACCCCAGGGGGACTAGCTTTTAAGAGGGCCTCCACATTTTTGTGAGTTTTACCTTCAGGAGCCCTACCAGGTTTTCACAGTGAAGACTGGAGATAAATCCCCTCATGCTTCCAGGAGGAGGAGGTGAAAGTAGCCATTGTGAAACATGCCAGAGCATTCTGTTCCTAACAAGGCCTGCCCTCAAGAGAAACTATCAGAGCCTAGGCTGTTAGAGTTTTATCAGAGCCTAACCACACTGGAGGATGGGAAATACCCAACTCCAGCCCATTTCAGCCATCCTGTCTCACCTAAGGGCCGGGGTGAAGAGGGGTACTGAGAAGCATTTGTGAAATTTACAGACCAGAGGCATAGGTTCACTAAAAGACTAAGACCTAACCATAGGATTGTTGAATGCTGCCCCGCCCTTCACACCTTACCACCACATTATTAAAGGCCTATTTATCACAGTTCCTTTTATGCAATATATTATGTCTATCAAGAAAAAAAACACAAGGCATGCTAAAAGGCAAAAAATACAGTTTGAAGTGACACAGCTAGACTCTGATATAGCAGAGGTGTTGGAATTAACCAACTGGGAATTTAAAACAAAACAAACTGGGGATGAAAATGCTATGGCTCTAGTGGATAAAGTAGACAGCAGGAGAGAACAGATGGACAGTGTAAGCAGAGAGATGGAAATTCTAACAAA